TCAGGTAAATGTTTGATTATTTATTTATTTACTTTTGGCTCGAAATAAGTTATATCCAAATTTAAAAAAATATATGTAGTCAGTAGACTTGGAGGGAAGAGTGGAAGGTTAAAAAAAAAACCTTTATATCATACAAAGCTGTAAATCACAATGGTTTTCTAAAAAGTAACAATGTGTGTTTTTAATGTTAAATCAGAAGAACATTTGGTTACTTGAGAACAAAAAAAGACAAGAACCAGGATTTCTACTAACAAAAAAAGAAGTGTCTAGATGGACACCATAATTTGCTAAATCATTTTAAATTTCTGATAAGCCCCGAGCACTTTCAATGGAAGACAAAACCGTAATGCCTAGGCCAAGACAAATATTTTCCAGACACACTGTTTAAATGTAAATCTTAATTTGGCCCATTGTTTTTATCTTTTATATTAAATCTTACAATAGGAAAATTAATTCAAGAGAAATATGGCACAAAGCAATTGTAAAGAGTTAGTTATTCCTGAACCATATAATCTTCCAATCAAGATATAAACAACCTATTTGGAATTCTGAAATTCGAGAATGAGTTTAAAGAGATCTTCAGAAAATGTCTCTAATAATGGCTGAGGAACTGGCCGAAGAAGTGTCAACTCATGATATTGAGGCTTTGAATTTGTTTTTAAAGTTTATGCATAAATTGATTAAGAGACGGCATCTGGGAAATGTTTTTCGAGGTACTATTTAGAAATATAGTTAATAGATTTTTTTCAGATGCCTCACCTAAGAGTTGTACTCAACTAAAAGTAAAAACTAAGGTTTTTCCCATGTCCCTTCCCCAGAGATATTTATTAAACAGAGATATTTATTAAAGGATAGTTCATTTCCTAGTCCTCCCACCTCCTGGATTTATCTGGCATTTGATAAGAATGTGGTCAATGGTCAGTAGATAGAACTGAGTAGCATGAGTTTCTTTCTTTCTTTTTTTTTGAAATTGTGAAAGCCAGGCAACCGTGCTTCCCGCCACCACAAATTAAAAAATATGTATATCAGGGAAAAATGTCCGCCCGGCAGTAGAAATAGCTTACTAATGGTTTTTGAGGGGGGAAACACACACACACGCACACACACACACACACACACGCACACACACTTTGCAACAAGTGAAGATTTTATTTTACGCTTTGAATTGCAAATTGTTGTAGGAAAATCATGTATAAAAGAAATCCTGACAGTATTCTTAAAGAGAAAATCTGACTAGAAGACATTCTATAACCATATTGGGGGCGTTCCAAGAAGTTTGTTTACCAACTTCTTTGTGCAGCAAAAGGAAATTTCCATAGTGTCCCTTGGACCATATGAAATACAAAATAGCTTTTAAAGAAATGTATATAGAAGTGTAATAGGAACCTTCCATGGAGATTTGAGGTTCAAAATTATGTTAGGGGAAATGTATTTTGTATTTATGTATTCACTATTTTGTTCCAAGAAAGATTTCATTTTTAATTTTTAAATTAGAAGTTATTAAAAAGATGTATATTTCTCAAGTCTTCTCAGTGCAAAATTTCGAGATAAATTGCGTTAGTTATAATTTTTTATTCATGTCATTTTCAGACCAAATGTAGGCAAGTATTAGTGCCTCTTTCCCCATCCTTACACAATTCTTGAGAAACAAATCCCAATTACAATATGCGACAATCACAACGGAAATAAGAATTTGTGGGAGAATGTCTGTATTTTGGATTCTGTCAGGCAAGTGAAAGGGACCAAAGCTAATTGGTCTCTGGCCTTCTTCATGCTTCACATTTGCCACTGCGAGTATTGGGCTGCTGAGCTAAGAGCAACTGCTAACGCAGGAGCTGTCACTAGCTTCCTGTGTATGACAGTGGCAAGACTGACAGAAAGACCCAACAAGTACCCTTCTATTCCAGTCACCCAGCAGCCATCCCTCCCAAGTGTATCATGCTCCCAGATGTCTTAAGGACACTGTGCTCTGGAGTCTTTGAGGAACTATCTTTCTTTGCCCTAGAATAGGGCCCTGGCAGATAGCTTCTCCATCCTCCAAGAGATATATTTCAAGGTCTTATATTTAAATCCTGACCTACTGTTTTTTCTAATTCGGCAATTGCAAAAAGTTGTTCCACGAACATGATGAGCTGAATTTTGCTTATGAGAAGGACTCATTTCTTCTCTTTTAGGATCTTCATGGCTTTTTTATCCCCCCCATGGAAAGTTATTGCTGCCTTCAAAGTTATGCAAACAAGAAATGTATGGTAGAGGATTAAAAAAAGTTTATCACAAAAATATATATATAGCTCATGGGAGAGTGTGCATGCTTTGAATAAAATTCTGCTCTTACTCTCCAATTATAACTATATATAGAGTTTTCTATTTCTCTCTTAAAGGAACATACCATTAACTGAGTTTCAAGAATCTTCATGAAGAACGCTGTTAATTTAAAACATATTTTCTTTTTATCTAGTATCACTGGATAATTTTATTCTCTGAATTGATACAGTTACAAAATTGCTTTTTCTGAGTGTGTTTTTTTTTTTACTTGGCACAGCTTATTTACAGTAAAATATTTGTACCCTGTGTCATTAAAAAGTTACATTTTTTATATTTTTATTTTCCCTATCCATTCTTGTCCATTAGACCAGTACACAAAAAAGGACCCCTGATTAAAAAAGAGTGTATTTAGCATTGAATAACCTCTTTTAAAGACTCTTTTCTTCTAATAGATGTAAGTAATTTTGTCTTGAAATAATATATTTAATAAATTAATGTATCAGTGGAAGTTTATGAATTTTCCAAGTGTCCACTGTAAAATCTTCTCTCTAACCTCAAAGAAAGACAAAAAAGAAAAAAAACCAACATGTAGTTGGAAGAATGTTCAGGAAATACCTTAAAGGCATTCTAGGTTATGTTCGACTTTTTAAAGAGAAAGGACGAAGTCATTAACTTGCTATAAACAGCGTTGGGTGGGGCGGTAAGAGAACCCCAGGGTCTACAGACGTCCGTCCTCCTGGCGCTGTGAGTCCTATCGATTCTCACTTTACCTTGTGATTTTCATTTTCCCCAAGTCTCTAATAAAACAAAACAACGCGCTGTCACATATGATGATTTTTTTTTAAGAATGTAAGTCATTTTTAGAAATTTTTAAGAAGATAGTTCACCATGTAGTTCAATTACCATGCAGCTTTCCCCACACCCGCCGGCCTCCCCGGGGGATCACACACCGGCGCTCCAGTGAAAGGGAGAGAAGGACATGCAGAACAGGGCCTCGGGAAAGGTGACAGAAATCGGTGGGTTGTTAAAATGGAGAAAGAAAAGATAACCCATGGAAGGCGGTGAACAGATTCTGTCTGTCTGTCTGTCTGTCTGTCTGTCTCTCTCTCTGTCTCTTTGTCTCTCTCTTTCACTCTCCCTATCCCTCTCCTTCTCTCTCCCTCCCCCCCAACCCCCGCCCCAGGGGCTAATAGGAGATGGATCCCTTTAAAGCTGTATTTCAAGAAGATTTTGTTTAGCTATGAGGATTATGCAGACCTTTCCCCAAAGGGGTTGTGGCCTCATTGTTTTTGGAATCTAATTTAGGACGCTTTCTGGGATGTAAGACTCCTCTCCCTTTTCAGCCCTGCTGGAACCCGCAGATCCAGGCTTCTGTGGCCTGAATTTCCTCGGAAGCCAGCTCAAGGCCTGGACTCAGGCATTGGGCTCCTGTGCTCTTATTCGATATCCACGCTAATATCCATATGCTTCGGATGCCCTAAAGCACAACCAGACTATTACGGCAATATTGTGCAATCGTGGGCCCCCCGTATTTCCATTCTTTGTAAGCAGGTGATATTTTGTAAGCAAGTGAGGTTCTTCACCCGGCAGTCAGTTTGCACAATCACTGTTTGAGCTCTGCCACTGAATTGTATGAAGCCGAGAGAAATCACTTCCTCTCTCGTGTGGCAGGTTCCCAGCTGCGACATTAATTATCCACTTACTTCTGTCACAAGGTGTTGTAAGGGTCAGCGAGCTTGAGTTTGTGAAACCTGTCACCGTGCTAATCTGAAAGTTGTTCTGTTGTCACAGTTTTGTTTTAAGTTCTCTTGCTCTTGAGGGTTATTTACAAAACCGAATGGACGTTTTATAACATATTTGCATTTCAGGTTTTTCTTTCCATTTAACGCTTCTTTATAAGAAATGTTAGTTTACAGAAGAAATGAAAAAATAGGTGATGGAAACAGTTACTTGGAGCAACATTTACCCTTTATTCACTCATTCATTCATTCATTCATTCAGTTCCATTTATTCATTCACTCTGTTCTGTGCTGGGTGGATAAAGCTGAGTAGGTTACTCACCTCAAAGCTCTCACAATTCAATGTAGGTAAATGAGGTAATGATTACGTGTTAGGAGGGGTGAGTGACGTACGAGGAAGCATCAGGGTGGGAGCAATTATTTCTGATTACCGAAGGATGCCCACGAAAGGGAGCGGGACCTTCCTGAGAGGGCACACTGTGAGAAAAAGACATAGATCTTAGAATTCACAACAAGAATTGGATTCGGATTCACTTAACTTTTTAAAAATAATATGCGAATGCCTGTTTAAAATCGCATGTGAAACTTCCGGATGTAATATCTGAGGAGATATTCTTCTATGTGAACAGATGTAATTTCTCCCTAGCGCCATCCCTCTGTCCCTGTGTCTCTCCTTCCTTTCCCCTTCTCTGAAACTCTATTTTATCACTAGGGGCATGATATAATCTCTCTTCCTTCTCCCTTTCTTTCTTTTCTTTCCCTTCCTCCCCTATTTCCCTCTCCTTTCTTTTTTTCTGAAACTGCAGTCAGATGTTATCATTGGGCGTGATGTAATATCTCTGCCACTTTGAGTGGAGGTCACCATCTTCTGAACAGCTCTTTAACAGATTTCCAAAGAAATAAAAATGGGACTTTTCGAGTTGTTCTGTCAGCTATAGGCTCTGACCTGGCCCTCCCCGCATTCTCACTTCTTCCCAATCTGCCTGTTTATTTCAGGTAATGGGACTCCTGACCAACCACGGAGGGGTTCCCCATCAGCCCCAGACCGATTACGCTCTTTCCCCCCTCACTGGGGGCCTGGAACCTACCACCACGGTGTCGGCCAGCTGCAGTCAGAGACTAGACCATATGAAGAGCTTGGACAGTCTGCCGACATCTCAGTCCTATTGTCCACCCACCTACAGCACCACGGGCTACAGTATGGACCCCGTCACAGGCTACCAATATGGGCAGTATGGACAAAGTAAGCCTTGGACTTTCTGGGGGGTGATTATTCCTGGCAGGGTGGAAAACGTTACCTCTTCTTTCAGAAAGGTGAGGCAATGGTATGACTCAGCCTCACATCTACTCTTGGTTTTGTGGCAAAGTCGGCTGATGGTTCCCGCAAGGCCTCGCTCGTATAATTATTTTCTTAACCGATGTCAACAACATCTTGCGGTTATTAATTGCCGAGATGTGAAACCTGATTGCCACTAGGTAAAACGCAAGGGTTGGCCCAAATGAAATAACCCCTGGCATTGGAAACACATGTTCTTAATGAGGTCAGCTCAAGGATCTTATGGAGTATAATCCCAAGGACACAGAGTTGTGTCAAACTTGTCTCAGGAATAAAAATATTAGCCTCGATCCTTTGATACCATGGTATTAAATATGACACTGTCAGCCTGTAGCTGATTTTGCCCCTTGCTGTGAATTGTCCCAGCATGACCTAAAAAGTCACGTGTGTTTCCTTACAGGTGCCTTTCATTATCTCAAACCAGATATCGCGTAAGTGGACTGTCCACTTGGAGCTAAAACTGGTCCCGTTTCCGGTCTCCACAGCCGAGACATGAAGAATCTTCTCAGAAAAAAAAAAAAAAATCACCCTTTTGAGGGGGCAGTCTTGACAGGAAACAAAGAAGAATGATTGATTTTTCTCCAGTAGTTGCTTTCAAATTCTTTTGAACATGTCGGACAAAAGCAGTGGAGAAAAAGAAGACCTGGAACAATAAAAGACAAATGCAACATTTTAAGGCAATGATTTTACATGGCTACGTATCAAATATCCCAACTCTTTTTTGTGCTGATGATCAAGGAGCTAAAACATTCCATTTATGTGTGTGTGCGTGTGTGTGCGTGTGTGTGTGTATGAGAGAGAGCATGTGTGTGTGCGTGTGTGCGTGTGTGTGTATGTGAGATTTATCTGGACTGGTTTGGGCAAGCAGAATGTTCTAAAATAGCGTCACAGAATTCTCTGAAGTTTAACACGATCGATGTCCAATGCTGACGACTTTACAACTGCTCACTTAATGAAGCAGGCATGGAGGAATCCTTCACTTTTACACACTGGAAATTCATATAAAAATAAGTGCCACCGTTTTTAGGAAGTTAGACTAGATGTAAAGGACCTCCCAAATCAATTATTTGTTATCTTATCTTCATTTGTAATTCAGTTGTTAATCAACGTCCGGGAAGGACACATCATGCTAGCAGCATACGGGATAACAGGAAGAAAAGCTTGTTTTCTTTCCCGGTGTGGGAGAGGTGTGTGATGTTTTCCCAATTCATTTTCACTTGGAAGCCAACCTGGGTGGGGGACGGGGGCTTGTGGGGTGAAGATATGACGTGCATTCCCACAGCTGCTTATCAGTGTGCAATACTGTGTACCTCACGGAGGCTTCGGCAATGGCCGGGGCCATATAGACAGAATCAGAACTATATTTTTGCAGGTGCTTTATTTTCGCAGCCCATGATTTGTTGTGGTAGAATGCAGTGATGTTTGCCATTTGCTGGACACCCAACACCTGGCTCGCTCCTTTGGATCAGAGACCACGTTCGAGAATAATGCTTTTTAAGACGACTACGTTTACATTCTTCTCTTTTCTCTGAAAGGCAGGGCAAGAACAGAAATGTCCACGTGGCTCTCATGTACTCTTAAATCATACAATGATACCCGACATTAAAAGATTATAGGAACTGAGGTTTACATACGTCTGTGTGGTGACATTTTAGAATGTCAATAAATTCATGTTTTGAGATGTTACGAGGAACGAGAAGGTGGAAGGCAGTGTTATTTATTTCTTCCTATTCTCGGAGCCTTGAACCAGGTAGGCACAAATACATTCCTTTTAGAGTCAAGAACTACAATCTAGTGGGTTAGTGAGACTAGACATAGTCCCGAGTTTAGTTCATACATTGGTCTTAGAGGGTGATGGATGGAGAGAAGCTCTACCTTTGTGATGCAGCCTCAACCAACAACAATGTGTTGTAAAAATGTCTTTCATGTAAAAAGTGCAGTAAATATTTACTATTTATAATGAATAAACGGTTATGAAAACTCGCCCGACACTGCTTTTTGGGGGGAACTGGTGAATGTAGTTGAATAAAAACTTGGAAATGGGGAACCAACAAAACGTCTGCTTTACTTCTAATGGTGGCATTTAGGCTGGACTATTACGTGGACAAATAAAATTATGCAACTCACAGTTGTATTCTCTTGAAGAAGCTTGGATGAATGCATTTTTAAGGGTTGAAGTGTGTCTTTTCATAGGTGTGGAATCTAGTCCAAACCCTCAAGTCCAAATCCATGTCTCCTTGGTTGTCTCAGAGCTATTACATTCCTTCGCCCAGGAGTATGTTTTCCTTCAGAGTATCTAACTTCGTCTTCATCCCCAATGGCTATTTCTACTGAAGTTTTTATCAAATGCTCTCGTATTTTATTTTGTTTTGGAAGCTTTTTTCACTCGTCATAAAAAACATTACTGCCTATTTTATTTATTCTCCCTCCCTCCTTCTTTCCTTCTCTCCCTCTTCCTCTCCTCT